AGGGGCCATGGGCACAAACTGAAGCAGAGGAAGTTCCAGCTGAACATGAGGAAGAACTTCTTCCCTCTGAGGGTGACAGAGCCCTGGCCCAGGCTGCCCAGGGAGGTTGTGGAGTCTCCTTCTCTGGAGATATTCCAGACCTGCCTGGACACGGTCCTGTGCAGCCTGCTCTGGGTGACCCTGCTTCGGCAGAGGGTTGGACTGGGTAACCCACAGAGGTCCCTGCCAACCCCCACCATTTTGTGATTCTGTTTTCTTTGGAAGGCAGACAGGATTTCAGTCCATCGGTCGGTCCAGTGCCTCCCCGCTGCAGTAACGAGCCGGGGAGTACCTGGGCCACCCTGGGACTGGATGTCCATCGCGTGCCGGGTGCGTGCCTGGGCACAGCTTCCATTCCCGGCCATGCCACAGTTCCACCTGGGAGGCAAACCTGAATTTTATCCTTCTAGCACCCTTACAACTTAGATGCTACAGCTGTTGTTAGAGCAGACCCTCCGGAAGGGGTTGATCTGGACAGCTCTGGAGGGTTCCACGTGTTGCTGGATGGTTTCTAGGCTCTCCAGCCCACTGGGGTGGCCAAGGGACACTCACGTGTCCTGGCTGCTCCATCCCTGACCCCGACTTTGGCATTGCACAAATTAAGGCCAACGAAGTGCACTGTGCAGGGTCAGCGAGGCCGGCCTTGCCTGCCAGATCTTGGGCGAGGGGAGGGACAGAGCCTGGTGTCCCCCGAGGGAGGCTGGCGGTGGGAAGGGACATCTTGGTGCAGGAACAGGGGTAATGCTGGCCCGGAAAACCGAGCGGCTCAGGTTTGGTGGAGCAGGGGAGGTAAAAACAATCGCTTTCCTGACGCCCAGCCCAGGGCATTCCCTGCCAGGGCAGGACACTGGGCATCGGTCCTTGGCCACTGGGAAAGGTGGACCCTGGGTATGGACCACAGCCAAGAGACCAGAGTGCAGACAGAATTTTCTAGAGCCACGGGCTGAGATAACCGAATAGCGAAAGGCACCTGCAGGGTCACAGCGAGAGCAGTGCAGCGGCAGACGGAGCAGCATGGCAGGGCTTCACGTCCGCTCCGCTCTGGTGACTGGGGCCAACCGGGGAATCGGCCTGGGGCTTGTCCGGCATCTCCTGGGGCTGCCCAACCCCCCCAACGGGGTGCTTGCGGTTTTTTCCGG